GCAGGGCTGGGCTCTGGCTCGTGCAGCGCCGCTGGGGCAGATGCTCTTCTGCATTCCCCCTCTGCCGTGTCTGCTGACCTCGCTGGGGCAAACGTTGCTTATGCCCACGGGGCTGCGCGGAAGTCCGTGCGCTGGATTCTTCTCTCATTTGAGAGTGTCTACGAGCAGAGCGGAGAATGGTGTTGGTGGAATGTGAAGGGACGCGTTTCAATAGCGGACAGTTTCCAATTTCATCGGAAGTTTCTTTCTTAAATTCAGAGGGGAAAAGAGACCAGAGCGCCAGTGGAATCATTCTCACGTGTGTGCTGCCTACACCAGAAGCGCGACACTGGAGGAGCTGCTCTCCCATTGGCACAATTATTGCACCTCAGTGAGAGGTGGAAGCTACGTTAGTGGGCGAGTGCCTCCTGCTGACGTAAGCACTTGTGTCGACAGCACTTAAATGGATGTAATTTGTGTCGCTCAGGGAGGTGGCTATTTTATACCCCTGAGGTCTGGTCTACACTAGATCTGAAAGGTTGGTTTAAGGTACGCAACTCCAGCTACATGGAATACATAGCTGGACTGGTCTTACCTTAAGCTGAACTTGGTGTTGTCCACAATGTGGGAGGCTGATGGGAGCAGACACTCCCATTGGCTTCCCTTACTCCTCATGACTACGACGCTGCAAAATTGAACACCAGAATGTGCATGACAAGTGAAAACCTGCCCTGGGTGATGTAAATTACATTAACTTAAGCAAGAGCACAGACTATCTTGGAGGTAGATCCTTTAAACCAGGGGTTCTCAAACTTTGTGATACCGCAACCCCCCTCCAAGTTGCTCATGACCCCCCCCCCGACCCACAGTCTGAGAAACGCAGCTTTAAGCTGTAGGAGGACATGAGAGAATGGGGCTATATATGGCATGTGTCCTATTGTTTCATCAAATTGTAAAAAATGATGAAGCCTCGATTAGGATTGAAATAAAATAGAAAAAAGTATACATGCAACTCCTCTCAAAATACTGCTCAAAATTGTCTCTTATTTGTTAAATGAATTCTGACCATTTAATCTACACTAGTTTTGTGTGGCTTTGCATCATAGGAGCCTGAATTTTGGTACACCATGGATCGACATATTCCAATGCATGCATTACCAGAAGAAATCCAAAAGGTAAGAAATACTGAAAATAAAACAACATCTAAGGTCAAAATTCTACAATGGCTTATGAATATTTCACTGGCTTGAAGTCACTATACATAGTCTAATAACTTTCCAACTACAGCATCTGGTCCAGTGTGGTGATTTCAATGTGCCTCTATTTACTGCCATGAGTTTGGGATGAGTGCAGAATAAGTATGTTTTCATCTTCTCAAATAAGTGCCAAAATAAAATTGTGTACCCTCCAGTTCCCCTTCATATTTTGTCCTAGAGTGTGTGAATGTGGATGTATAAAGTTAATTTTTTGTTCCGTTTTTAAAGCCGTAGTTCTTAACCTGAGGTGCATGTACTCCTTCCGGGTGTGAGATGCCCTTTCTGGGGGTGTGAGACATGCCAGATTTTTATGATATATCTTAGGTTTTAAACTGACCTACTTACAACAACTTTTAATAAGAGGTGTGAAAACATATTTTGAGAACCAAGGGATGCAGACTGCAGTAAGGATAAGAACCACTGGTTTAAAGTATGTTGGTGTGAAGATAACATGTCTTTGGTATGGGAGGAGCTTATTGACACCCACAAATGGAGACAAAAGTCATTTTTATAACTGTTTGCAGTTTATACTATGGCTGGTAAATAGTAGTTTGTGCTGGTTTTCACGACCACATGTGTTATAAATATAGCAAAAGATATATACATAGTGATTTTAGATCCGTTGGTAGGTTTATGATTAACTATTCTTTATTCTCATGCAGCAAATGTTTGAAAAAGTGGAAGTGGCATGAAATCAAATTGTCATTCCCCTTAAGACAAGCTAATTTGCTTCAGTATGTTTTAAATGAAACTCTTGAGCCAGTGGGACATTCTGTTCTTTATAGTATCCTATTTTTACTGTGTTTACATGTATTCAAAATGTGCAAATTAAAAATTTTCCCATTGGAAAATTGCACTATTATTCTATGCAGTGCTCTTGTAGCCATGTTACACAAGTCTCTCTGTAAGCTCAAATGCTTGTCTCTCTCACCAACAGAAGTTGGTGCAATAAAAGATATTACCTCACCCACCTTGTGTCTAATAATTATTCTTCCATTTACTTGTACACATGGCAGGCTGTGCTATTTTCCAACTAAATCTTTGCTTTAAAGTTGACTCACAATAGCCTTTTTTGTAGTCTCAGAAAACATAAAATTGAGGCTTGCTTATAAATAGGACTGTATTGAAAGATAGCTTTGAATAAAGAATTGGATCAGTTTCAGCTCAATACAGTTTCAGCTGCACCTCTTTTTCTCCTTAGCTTTGTGATCAGATCAGCCATTTCTTTTTGTCATGCAAGACTGGTGGGAAATTTAGGCTGAGGAGGTAGGGAAACAGAAGAAAGTAGGGATAATTTGTCAAAAAAGTAAATTAGGGTGACAAAGAGGAGAGGGGGGAGAATTCAGACGAAGAACAAATAATACAGGGGACTATAAAGTCAGAAAGGTGAATGTTTTGTAATTCTTACAACTTCAGTTTAGTAAAAGTTTGTTGTTCTGATTATATCCATTGTTCAGCTTCTAGTATAGCTTTGGACAAATTTTGTTTCTGGGATGTGGCCAAACACTAAAATTAAACTTTTAGTTGCACCCCCGCTTGTAGCTACAGGCCTTTATTTCATGTATGTTTCAGAATTGTATCTAAACCTTTCAAAATCTCATAAAATAGGGAGGGACTTGTTGCTGACCTTCAAGACAAAAGATCAGTATTTAGTTATTTTGTAACTGAATATTTCAAATATAAGGTGCCATCAGTTTAGCACTGAGGTACAAAGTAGGGATGTCAATGTGTAGTCTGAGCTCCCTGCGGACAGAGGCTGCTCTGCCTCCCAGGCAAGCCTGGTCTGCGGGCTGCTGCCATACCAGCCTCTGTCCGGGGAGAGCTCGTGGGGCGTGTATCTGAGGCAGCAGCATGGGGTAGCAGGTAGTTCATCTGCACATGGAGCTGGTTTTTAAACTGATACAGAGGCAGCTGCATAGGCTGGTAGGGGGCTCCCTGGGAGTGCGGCCAGGAGTGCTCTGGCTGCTGGCTCCACCCCCGGGACTATCGAATAGTTGTGTAACTGATGAGATTTCATGTGGTTACATGACTATTCAATTACACCATATGATATCCAACATCCTTAGTATAGAGATCTACTTCAAAATAAGTAGATGAATAAAGTCAAAAATTCAGGTCTGTTGTATGGATTATATTTTAATTTTAAGTAATGAAACATTCAACTCCCGTACTATAATTTTTGCAGTGCATTCTAAAATATGGGCTAAAATGGGCAGTATTCCAAGGTCATGCTCCTTACAAGTTATTCAGATATATAGAAATAATTTAAGGTTCCATTCTTGTGATTTTTGAAGCTCCTAGTGTAACTTATTCAGCTGGCTAAGAATGGGTTAGACCACCAACTTACTTTCTCCTGAGTAATTTATGCTCCCCAGATGCCTACTGTATAGAATCAGAGAGGTGTCATAAGAATGGCTATCCATCTTGGTTCAGTTCTCCACTTGTCTTTGGCTAAAAGAAGTTCAGCATAGCTAGGGAAAAACATTAGCTTTTAAAAAGTTAATACAGCTCTGACCTGAAATTAGTCCCACAGATGCTATAGTGTAACAATCGGAAATGCTGCCCTTCAAAATTATTTATACTGCACAAATTTCTTATCATGCCTTCATAGCGTCTGCTGTTACGTAGATCAGGTTCTTGGCACAAAATCTTATGGGTCAGATTTGGTGTCAGCCCATGGCCAATGAATTTGGCATTGTTTTTTGTTTATGATTGGACCCACTTTGGCTCTTTTAATCTCTGAGCTCTCTCACATATGTGCTATATGTGCATTAATGTAAAGTTAAATAGAACATTTTTAATGTCAATACACTGGCCATCTCTTGCCAAGTAAGCAGTGGAAGTTTTGGTAATGCTGCTAGACAATTTTGATCTCCCATGATTCAGCAAATTCTCTGATTTGGCAATGGTCAGGTGCCACGGATACCAGACTAGAGAGGTTCAAGCTGTACTTCATGTAAAAGCTGTAAAAAGGTTTGTCTCTGAACTGTAAATTGTATCTAACATACCATGTCTTTTCTTGGACCTCTTTTTGGCCAAGTGAAGCAAGCTCATACACTCAATAGCAATTCTTTGTCTATGTGAGGGTAACTTTTTAAAGCCACATCTGGTGAATTCCAATATTTCAAGGGAATAGTCAAGACCTCAATGGACAGAATGGTGTAAGCTTCAGTTGGTGAAGATTGGGTAACTGAAAAATCCTGATTTCCACTAAAATCACATTCATTTAGAATACATGCGTGAGGGACTGATCTAACAAAGATCTGTGGGAGGGGAGCAGCACCACTCTGGCTACAAAGATGAGGCATTGATCTTACTGGCCTAAGGGAGTGGAGAAGGAACACACTGGATATAAGGATGTAGCAGTGACCTACCTCAGCCTTAGGGATTAGGGTGAGAATAGGACTGATGGGCTCCTCACACCATTCCAGGCAGCTCTTTCCTCCAGCTGAGTTCCTCACTCCCAAACTCTGGACTGCCCCTGTATTCAAGTCTTTTGTCCCCATTCTGACTAGATCCTACTATAGGCAGGCTTCTTGCCCATCCACTTCAGTTTCTCTTAATTTGGGTGAGAACTGGGAAAACTGACAATGCCTGATGAGGGTTGGGTAGGGCTAGAGGGCAGGGATTATTATTAGGGCACCAGAGAGCTTGCTCTGCTAGCAGCACTAAATGGGTACTCAGGCTATGTCTGCACTACTGGGTTGTTGTGCAAAAACCTGTAGTGCATCCACACCTCAAGCACGTTTTTGTGCAAAACAAAGTACAGTAAATCGACAGGACAGAGGGCTTTGGCTAGTAGAGTTATTCCTTTCCCCCACGAGAAATAACTCCTTTTTGCGCAAGAGTTCTTGCAGAAAAAGGTGTGCGTGTGTGGATGCTCAACAGGGGTTTCTTGCGCAAAAAGAGCCTATCACAAAAAAGCACAGGTGCTCTGATGGCCATTCACGGAATGGCCATCAGAACTTTCTTGTGCAAGGGTGTCCATGCCACGTGGACGCTCTCTTGCACAAAAGCACATCACTTTAGTGATGCGCTTTTGAGGTATGGACATGCGTTTACACAAGAAGTTTTTGCGGAAGATCTCTTCCACAAAAAGCTTCTTACGCAAAAACCCTGCAGTGTAGACAGCCTCAGTGAGCTCAATTTTAGTGGCATTCAAAATCTCTGTGCCCTTCAGGAGAGCCTCTCAGGCCCATTCTGGCCAGGTCTACTCTCATTTACCACTATCTTCCACTCCTGACAGGCTCTCACCCTCTCTGCTCCCACACACTCTGTTCAGAACTCTATTGATTTTCATGCAAATTGGAAACCTAGAAAAGCCTGATTTTTCACTAAAATCCAGAGTTCCCATTTTCATTAAAATTGCCAGAGTTATGACAAGAACGGGGGGCCCTGGAGCCCTGCAGCAGTGGGGTAAGGTGTTAGTTGGGTTAACAACGAAGTGTGCAACCCTCTAATAATGTCAAACCTTTTAGTTTTGAAAACTAATTTTGAGACAAATGACTATAAATTATCAAAAGCTTCGGAGGGGTTGCTGAGTTAGTCTGTAACTTAAAAAACAACAAATAGTCTGGTAGCACTTTAAAGACTAACAAAATATGTAGATACTGTAGTATCATGAGCTTTCGTGGGTACAGTCCACTTCTTCTGATGACTGGAATGTTGGATGTCTAGAATCCCTTCCCCCCGTCTCTGGTTGTCTGAAGAAGTGGGCTGTGCCCATGAAAGCTCATGATGTCATCTACATACTTTATAAATTAAATGATCAGATACTGTTTTGTAGCCTTAATATACTTGGGCCTTATTGTATAGTTAAAGTTCTTTCCTGTGTCATATTACGGAAGAAAATTTTACTATATATTTAAGAAATATGCCTCTGTCTGTCTGTGAATCCATTTGTTCAAGAACTCCTCTAT